GGAAAACCTGGCGGATCACAGCCCATCAGGCTGTCTCAGGGGATGCAGGAAGCTTGTGCAACTGAAGCAGACTGGAACTTGAAGGAAATAGTGACTGGCCCTTGAAGAAGGCTCAGAAATAATCATCACAGGCTGCAGCAGCTCATCCACGAGGATTATAACGCTTTTGTGTTTTAACTGGAAATGATCTTAAAAAAGATGGATTAAAGGAATCAAAACAACTGGCTGCACCAGAAGGATATCCGAGCTGTCTGATTTGCTGCAGCATAGTTGTATTTTTGTCTTGTGGTATTGGGTAACCTCCCTCTGCATACCCAGGATCAATGCCTGCTGTGACCCGATCCTCCAGAAGGAGCGTGGGATTATACTGAGGCAAAAGTGACAGAACTAATGGGGAGTCAACAACAAGCTTTTCCAATCAGCAACACAGTGACATTCAAATAATGTCTTATTCTTCTCGCCTCACTCTGTCCCTGTGAGGGACATGTATGAGGAGACTTTGAGCGGTCTTTCTCAGAGCTGGACTTTCTCAGCCTGAAGGAGAGAAGCCGAAAAGGGGATCCAAACTGCTGCCTTCAGCAATCTAATGGGAGTTTCTGTTTCACTCCAAAGCCTGACGTTCTCTTTCAATACCCAAAACCATGCCTGCATTTTCCAGGTATACCGAGGGTCTAATAAGCAACAAACCTTGTCTTGCCTAGTAATCCCTAGTGTTCACTTTACTTTCCTGACTGACGTTGAAACTGTGTTATAGCGCTCAAGTCCCCTTCCTGAGGGGCAGCTCACTTCTGTTCATGTGAAGTCAGGACTGTTTCCTCCTGCATGTGTCATATGTCACCTGTGTTACTTTATATTCACCAATGCTGAATTCCAGCTGCTATTTCATTATTTTGTGAAGTTCTTCTGCAGTTCCTTTCAGTCAGCCATATTCTTTGCTATTTTGATTAATTGCATATTGTCAGAACACTGTCATTTGGCTTTTCATGCTGATTTTCAGATTTTTAAGCTCGTAGGACAGACCCAAATTCAGAGCCAGACACTGATGACATCTCTCCATTTCTTTCATCTCTTCTCATAAAAACTCTTTGTGGTGTCTGTGTGGCCTTTTTAATCTCATGATGGGTTGGTTTACTCGGGGAAATACTAGTGGGAGTCTTTGTAAATTCTTCTTGTAAACTCCAAGCTGACTATATCAGTGTCATTTCCTTTCCATGAACTTGTTGATTTCTTCAAGGAAATAGAAACAGGTTTTCCATCTATAAAGCACACGCTGCTTTTAACTCAGTTGATATGGATTTTGCAGAGTACTAGATTCTTTTCTAACTTTCTGTATTGTGCTTTTAGAATTGACTTACCAGTCCTTTTGTTCTTTTCTATTTTTCTCCCTTAAATGACTTTATCCTGCTTACTCATCGTACTGGATCTTTTTCCACTGCCATGTCTCTAACACACAGTATCCTGAGACAGTCTGCAAGCAGCTTTTTCAGCCGCTCTTTTTAGATCCCTGCAGTCCTTGCAATCTTCTCCAGGTGCTTCAGACCTTCTTGGTAGTGGGCTGGGTGGTTGGCAGGGCAGGTCTTGTGTTGAGCTTCTCCTGTTTGGGCCTGGAGTTTCTTTCCATAGGGAATGTCTCTTACTGGTTGATGTAATTAACTTACTTATCTGATTCCTGTCCTTCCTGCCCAGACATGTGGGGGTGGTATAGAAGTCCTGTGCCTGAGAGTATTTTCTTAGGCTATGGAAATATGAATGGAGAAGGGAAGCTTGAAGGCTAAGCCAAGAGCAAATTTCACCACAACAGCTGTGTACAAATGACCAGGCTGTCCACTGCAAGCGTGAGAAAGGAGTAGGATTTGCATAAAAAGGTATGCATTTGAAAACATGACAAATTTAAACCTGATTCATACCGAGGTAACTTGCCAGTGCTGAAACAGGCCTGTTTTACTTCTGAGAGTTGTGTCATGTGGTAGAAAATGATGAAGAAAAAAAAAATTGAAATGGTTTGATTTATCATTTCTTAACCAATCTGTCTGCTAAGACTTTAGATAGACTTGTGACTGCTGTACAGTCCCAGACTGGAAAAAGGAGTGAGTGTCTGTCTGATGCCTGGCCCTGGTGCTGCACCTTCTTGCTTCATTGCCCCATTTCTGAAGCTGGCATGTCCCCAGAAAAGGTGGTGTCAGTGAAGTGGAAGACACACCACTCATCTGAGAAGAGCTAAAGAGATTTAGACCTTAAAACAGGCTCCTTACTTATCAGGATGCTGTAAAGCTAAATTCTGTAACTGGAAAATTTTCTACCAATTTAAGTTATCTTTACAGTTGTCAAAGGCACACAGTTCTGATCGCTCTCAAACAAGATTTGTTAAAGTGCCGGCGTCATCTACCATCTTTGTACTTCTATACTCAATGGTTTTTTCTCAAACAGTAGGACTTCATTTTACTTTCAGCTAAGCCATCCAGGTCCGTAACACCCTGCTGACTTCATTAAAATCATGCCGATGCCTACAAACTGCATCCTAATGCAGCTATAGGAGACATTCTTGTGAATACATAGCTTGTGGAGGAGCAGTCATCTCAAAAGCCCCTCTAGGGACCTCTGCTCTGCCAACTTTCCATTGAATGCTTTTCTTCTTTGAATAAACCTGCTATGTTGTTTTTGTCTTCTGTTATATGAAATTCTGGAGGTCATAATTCTGGTGATACATACTTCTATCTTCTGAGATAGAATGACTTTCTAATGCAGCAGAGGCTGGATGATTCAGACATATAAAATAATTGTTATGCTGCTTCCTGATGTGGTGCTGTAATGTGTTCATTAAATTTGCCACTGCAGCTATATGCTGCAGTGTCCCTGTTCAAAGATAAAGTAAACCCATGCCCATACACAGAATCACAGAATGGTTGAAGTTGGAAGGGACCACTTGGGATCATCTAGTCCAACCACCCAGCATCAAGGAAGGTCACTTAGCCCAGGATCGCATCCAGGTGCATTTTGAATATCTCCAGAGATTCAGCAGTGTCTGTGGGCAACCTGTTCCAGTGCTCAGTCACCCCCACACTGAGGAAGCTTCTTCTCATCTGCAGAAGCCGTAAGAAAATGGTCATAAGAAAGTGGTACATGGACAGCATCTATTCACGTGGAGTTTTCTTCTAACCTTCCACTTCAGGTGTTTGGAGTTTCTGACTGTAAGAATGAAAAGGGAATCCTTGCCATTCACTTAGCTGTCTTACAGAAGTGATTTAAGATGTTCTAGCTGCTGGTGGTTTTCTGCACTGTTTTTCCAGCCAATGCAATTCCAACAAAGATGATGAGAAGCAATGGTAGTCAGGAGAACAGTGATCAAGTGGTGACAGTGTGCGAGATAACCAGATAACTCTTTTGAAACCATGTTACACCCAGAGACAGAAGCTGGGCAGCAAATGTCTATGAGCCAATGGGTTTGATGGCTGCGCAATGTTACTGTCAGCAGTATGAGAGAGGACAGAAACCCTGAGCAGTAGTTTAAGCCAGTCTGTGGTTGTATTTCAGAGAGGCAGACAAACTTTAGTAAAAAAGGGAACACAGAGGACAGCCTCTGCTACTACCTGAAACACAGGCTCTGTTGGTCCTGTGAGAAGTATGGAGGAAAATTCTGATATACAGTGAAACTGGCACAGTGAATCAACAGCCCAAGTTGCAGCACTAAAATCTTCCTCAGTGGTAGGAAATCCACACTGAGGAGACACTATCTATTCTGAGATTTTTTTTTGGTGTTATCTGCCTGTGTATTACTAGCATGGTCTACTTTCTTTGGGATAATTATTTCGGATTTAACAGATCGTTTGGTTCATGCAAAAGGCAGCTCTTAGCTCTCCACTGTTGTTTTGAGCAGGGGCATTTCAACAAGCTCAAGCATTAGCAACAGTTTTCAATAGTATTCTTAAAATAAAAAGAACATCAAACAACTGGAGAAAATGGAAAAAATCTGGATTACACCAGCCAGTGCTATACTTTATGTTGTGCCAGAGAAAGGCTAACTCCCTGTTTTACACCTGAAGTGTAAGCCTCATTTATACAAGGTTAATATGATAGCAGTTTGAATCAAGTAGCCCACAAGATTTTATTTTGCTTGTGCAGCTTCCAAAGCCAGTTGGATTTATCCTTCATGGCAGTAGTAATAGTAGTGATCATAGCAAAGGAAAGAAAGCAAATATTCAATCATATCTTAATTTTCTCTGAAACAAAGGCGTCCTGTAACTGTGATTGCACTGATCTGTTGAAAACTTGTTCTCAGTAAGAGGAAGGAAACTCACTTCTCCAGCCTTTGCAAAACAACTTGCAGTGCGTGACAATTAAAAGGCCTGCTAATGGCTGTGGTGGCTCGTGTTTGAGCACCGTGCAAATAATCCATTTAAAGATCAACCTCAGAATTCTTGTTCCCTGATTCTCAGCCCACTGGAATGTAGCAGGAGTCCATTTATCACCCTAGGAATGCAATGACTGGTAAAAATCCCTCATAAGTACGCTTTACTTTCAAATACAGGGGTATTCAGATGATTTCTCACTCAGGCCAGAGATCGCTGCCTGTGAGCAGGCTTCTTTGATGACTTCATCTGCTACTGATCAATTTATAAACTAGTGCACGTGAGCCGACATCCTTGCAGTTTTGTCAAATACAAATTCTCCTTTTATGTGTGTAAGCATCTAGTTCTGGGTTACTCAAGGGAACCGTGGTGACAGCTGAAGACCTAGCGGCCAGTGGGCAGAGGGAAGCTGTCACCGACTGTGGTTTTCATAGTGGCTGCATTTCACAAGAAATGGACAGCCTAAAATTGCATTACGCCTAGGACTAGAGTCTGAACAGTTAGCACAGTCAGACTGGAGACAAAGGCATTACAGGTCTGCATCTGAAGAGGCACCCATATGTCTCCCCTCTAAGGTTAAATTTTTCTGGTGTTTTTCGAACTCCCATGTATTTCCCAACCAGGGATGTGTATTAAGGGACGATTACGCAATGGTTGGTGAAACTCCCTTTATTTATTTCACTTGTGTTGTTGCTGTCATTGTATAAGAAAGAGCAAAATAACAAAAAGAACCAAGTAAAATAGTAGCTGACCCAAACATTTTCAATACGTTGAAATCCCATTCCAAATGCAAAGACTCTTTCTTTCCTTCTTTCTTTCTCACTTTCTCTCTGTCCTTTCTTTGCATTGATCTGCACAAGCGGTTTCTCGGTGAGCCAAAGACATCTCTGTTGTAACTTCACTGAAGTCACCGGACTTACACCAGAGGTGGTTTTGGTCCTCTGTCCTCGGTAAATACAGCAGGAATAAATTGGTCACGCAGGCAGGGTATCTGGCAGTAAGTGCACTGAGTGCTCCTGGCAAACCAATAAGAAAGATCTAAAATAAAAATTCCCAAACAGGTCTTTTATTTAACGTAGGGCCTAAAGATCTACCGGGAGCTGCTGAATACTGCCCACTAACTGTACAAAGTATAGGTAGCATGCCTTCCAAATATCAAAATACCAGACGGAATGCCGTGAAAATAAATAACTTCTAATATAAACAAATGAGAACATATCAAACTGTTACCTCTTTAAACATAATGTAAATAAAAAAAAATACCAGTCCTTCTACACAATAAATATTAAGAAACCATTGACATAGTTGAAATGTACTCATATAAATTAACAACTTTAATTACATTAGCCAAACAGACATTGGTTAAAGCACTGCATGTAGTATGCAAAATAATAATAATAACAATAATAATAATAATATCAACAACAAAACACAAAATGATAAAAACAAAATAGGCTTCATAATATCTTGGCTTTCATAATTTATATATATATATGTATATACATATATATGGTTGTGTGTGTATATATATATTGTAGATATATATATATATTATATGTATACATACATACATACATATATATATCTTCAACCCATCGTCAATGTACTGCTTTTGAAAGTATTTAAATACAAAGAAACCCATTGATAATTAACACCGATTCACCGTATCTCAAAAAATAAATAGCTATATAACCCAGAAGTGTTGCTTGTTTCTGCCCACGAAAATGTCGTTCGTAATTGTTCACCAAAGGTCAAATTGTGATTTTCGGTACTCAAACTGAAAACTTTTTTGCTCCATGTGTAAGGCAGTGAGAGTAGGTTGGGAGTAAAGTTCATTCAGTGTCGGGAACGTGATCAGCATCTGATCCTTATACTGATGCATGGTATTGACACGAGGCTTAACTTAAGGAAATCACTAATTTCAGTCACATCTCTTCTACCTACATTCCAGAAATAGATTTCTCTCATGGTATTCATGCTGACGGTGACTTTCTAGGGCAGGAGACACTCTGAAATCAACAGCATTACTTACAGAGTAAGGCACTATTCCACATAAGTAACAATAGTCCATAAAAATTCTCCTTTTGCACACAGACATTACAGGTGCCTGAATTTCTCCAACTCAGAGATATTGCTGCTAGCCTCCGTGTGGCCTTGTGGTGTCACAGTTAAACGAACCTGATGGCTTGAACCTTAACTAAAGACAAAGAAGTAGGTATTTGTAGCAGAGTCCTAGTTTGCAGTGGTGGGCTAGGGGACTGTTTCCATTAAAATCAATGACAAAACTCCCATTTCAATCAGTTCTGCAGTTTTGGGCCCTAGATCTGTATTCTGCTGTGACATGTAAGTGCAGAATAATCACAAGCTTCTGTAAACATTTCCTTTTGCTAAACCCCGAGAATACAAATACATTCATCCCTCCCAAAGAAACACCTTAATGTGTAATTCTGCCAGTTTTGTTGGCCTGTGTGATACAGTGAGCATCTGACATGGAGAGGGGGAAAGACCACCAAATGTCAGCCCTGGAGCAGGAAGATTGCGGAGGTACTCAGCAAGTACATTCTGTGATCAAATATATGCTGAAAATACATTTTCAGTATAAACAGGAAACGGGTTATACAGAAAGGAATGTGTTAGTAGTTAAAAGCCTTTTTTTCTTTTTTTTTCCTATAGTAGTACCTGAAAGGAGAAGTAATTTTTGAGACCGCATCCCCCTGGAAAACTGTTTAAATATGGCAACAATTTCTAATTACGTTTCTAAGTACATGCAGATGTAATTAAACCAAGTTATCAGGAGTAGGGTGTTTTGCTGGAATCAGTCTGTCTTGACTAACACCACAATTTCTTATTTTATCAGATAGTTTTTCACTCTCCTCTGCTTTAAATAACTTTGCTCACAAATCAAAACTCCATGACTGAGATTGGAGGGAGAAACCTTTTCAATTTGTGAATAAGATACACACATGAAAGCTAAAAAGCTGGGTTTAGGAATAGTTACTTTTTGCTTTGCAAAAGCTTCTTCTGATTTTGGTGCACCTATTATGAAATACACTCACCACATGTAAAATCCTCCTTTCTTTTCTCACATGGAAATTGTCTCAAGTAGTTTTGTGCATTCCAGGGCCAGCCCTAGAGCACCATACAGAAGGTATCAAACTCAGACTTCATTTTAAAGGCTCTGCCAGCTTTGGACAAGGAGACAGTGAGCCTCAACTTACTTTATTTGCAGCCAATGGGAGTTTTGTCATAGTCCTTTGGGGAAGGTGCTGGGATTTCAGAACTCCGATGCTCTCTAACTAATCACACTTGAGAATAATTTTTGCCAACATGAGCCATCTCACCTGCTTCCCTCGCCACTACATACAGAGAACAACCCATGATGCAAGCAGCATAGTTTTAACAGTCAGTTGAATTAAATGGTGTTGGATATGGTACCACTCATTCAAAATCCATTCTCTCCCTTCACACTGTTTACAGTACAAGGAATCTGTGGTTCAGCCTGGCTAACCTTTACTCATATAAGCAGCGTCACTGCTCTTGCAAGGAGATGTCAGTGAGCCTGTTGACATTAGGGAGTGTGGAGAGATGATCTGCACCTAATTTTAAGTCCTGGTCCAAAGCTCAGTGAAATAAAAGGTGCTCTCCTCAGAGGTCACAGGCTATGTCCCTGCTCCTGCTATTCCAGAGCCTAGCTCTCCTTCTACAAAACAAAACAGCCATTCTGCTACTTACTTAAAATGAAACAGTCAGGAACTTGGTTTTAAGTTATGAAGATAAATTAGTTGTGCATTATTATTATTTTTTTCCTACTCCCTCAGGAAGAAAACTCCTCAAAACAAACAACTAGCCGAACCGAACCAAACCAGACAAAAATACACCTTCTGAAAATAGTTTAAATCAGAAAGCCTTGATATTTTACAGAATAATTTAGTGACAAATTTAGTGTTTACCCAATCGTTACCATTTTTTTTAAGTTTTTTTTTTGTTCTTTTTTTTGTTCTTTTTTTTTTTGTTTTTGTTTTTTGCAAACTGCGAATAGGTCTGTAAAAATGCACTGTATAAAAAGTACATACATGTATAATCGATTAGCTGAACTATGCAATCTAAATACTGTGGAATAAATTAGATAGAAAACTTAGCTATAAGCATGTATGTTGATATCTATTCAACTGAGGAAAGGGCTTCTTTTTTTTTCTTTTTTTTTCTTTCGATTTTTTCTTTTTTTTTTTTTTCCTTTTTTTTCCCCCCTTGTTTTAAGGTTTCTATCACTAGGTACAAACAGGGACACGCACCCACATACCGACACACACACAGACATGGAGTGCACCCACACCACACGCACACAAGCAGTTTTGGCTGACGACAAATGAAGGCCCTGATTACACTGCTTAGACATGGGTCCCTCCGTGAAGGTGCTAACACACTATCCCTAGCCAATGTGACCGGGTTAAATTGTGCTATCTTTTCCTTTTTCCTTTTTTTTTTTTTTTTTTTTAACGTTTTTACAAACTGTGCTCTCAGCAATGAGGGGAGCCGTGTTAGAGCTGCTTTTGCTGGGAGGCCTTTGAAAGCTCATCCTATCAGAAGGCAGTGAACAGGGGCTTGGTCCTGCAAACCTGTGAGAGTCCAAAAGTTCAGGCTCAGGGTTATCAAATTCAGTGTAAACAGGGCCGAAAGGTTTCTCCCGTTCCCTCTTCTCATCTCCCCTACTCAAAGACACGAGTTATAACTTCAACATTCTTTTAAATACGACAGCAATAGAATTTTTTGTTTAAAATCTACCTATGCCCTACGGGTTGGACCCTTCAGGTTAGGTGCTGATACTGAAAATTAAATTACATTTTACAGGTAACGCGCAAACCCAGTAAGAGTTGTCGTGCTAGAGGGTGGTGGTTGAGACTGCCAGCCTTTTGCTGAAGGCTGCATTTCAAGCAGAAATCCGACCACAACTGCCACTCTTTTTTTTTGTATTTGCAGGGGCGAAGGTGGGCAGGGCCCGAAGCTGCTTGCAGTTTTGCATCGATACTTTCCTAGTGTACACCACCGATTGAGGTTCCTCTCACACAAATGCCATTCTGAATGTGCTCCCTCCTGCTTGCTAGTAACAAACAAGTTTGTACTGTACTGTGCTTTGCACACAAACATTCATTGCTTTAAGAACGCTAAAGTGAAGGCAGAAGTGCTTATACCTTGTGTATGCACACATATATACATATAGAAATATATACATATATATATGCATATCCCTTGTATAAAATTGTTTCCCAGTGATGCAGTTTCTGTGCATCAGGGATAAGTCTAAGTGTTGTACATGCAGAACGAGTATAATTAGGCTTAGACGGACTGTGGATCCAAGCGCCTTGCAGCCAGGGCGCTTTTCTGAGCTTACTCCAAATTGCAATTTCCTGTTTAGGGTAGAATTTTAATTTAACTGGTTAGCAGATGTACTGCCCTGAATGGAATCAACCAACTGACCCCTAATTCAGACTGTAACTTATTACAGGTGAATGGTAGCAACCACAAATAGACTTTTTAGAGGCTCGCACGAATGTCTTTGGTGTATATGTCTATTTGCTTTAAGGTACAAAATAATAATAATAATTATAATAATAAAAATAGCTATTTTGTGTGCTGTAGCAGTTCTTGTATAGCTCACAATAAGTGCAGCTCTCAACCCCTCCCACACCCAACCACCCTCCCTTGCAAATGTTTGTTAAATAAGGATTAGACAGGTCAGACACCATTGTAGTGCAAATAGTAAACGATTAAAAATTTTTTTTACAAAATATAGAAATGTTTGGCTCCAGTAACTGGACAAACATATTCCTTTCAAGTATCTCTCACTGAAGAATGTTTGTTTTTTTTTTTTTTAAACAAGTTACTTCCATTTATAAAAAAGTCTTTCTGTTTTTTTTTTTTTGTTTGTTTTTTTGTGTTTTTTTTTCTTTCTCTTGCAGGTAAACAGTTTCAAACCAACTAGGTTGCATAGTTCTAACATTGTAAGCACCTTTACAGAATGTAACTTTTATTCTTTCATTCGTTCTTTTTAAATCTTTTTTCTTCATTTTTCTTTTTTCTTTTTTTTCTTTTTTCTCTCTTTTCTTTTTTGCAAATGTAGTGCAGAAGATGGAGGTGTGTACACCTGCACAATTTTGTCCCTTTATCAAAGTAAATGCGTGTAAGTGTGTAGTGTCTGTATGCATAGCGATACGTATATAAATACGTAGACACATACATATCCACACAAACACCACACACCTACTCAGTTCCTCGGTAAATTTGGGAGGAAAGTGCCAGTGAATGCAGTGTTCATACACATGGCTTTTCAAGGAATTTCAATGACGTTTTGGACTCAGTCCAAACTGCTGCAGGTTACGTGAGCTGCTACCAAGGCTCGAACTGATGGGTAACCAGAAGAGGGAACGCAACTCCTCTAGTAATAACTAATGCTTAATATACTGTCTAATAAGATAAGGAGCGTACTGAAAGGAAGGAGAAACTCCCCAACCCATACCGCCATTCAAACGCAGCTCATTCAAGCCTGGGTTCACGAAGCTTTCTTCCTCTTAATAGCTGTACTCCTTTTCTCTCCTCCATAAGTCTTTTTTTAAAAAAAAAACTTTTCCCTCTTTTTTTTTCTTTAATTTTCTCTTCCTTTTCTTTTTTTCTTTTTCTTTTTTTTTTTTTTTCTTTTTGTTTTGTATTTCAGATGATTGTTTCATTCAAAAAAGTTATAAATCATGCCAGGTTTTTTCTCTTCTTGGGCTTTTAAAACATTTTCTTCTCAACATAAAGAGAAGGGTCTTGTGCACACATGTGCCTATGAACAGCCACACTCCTCCACAATCATGTTCTGTATATCTTTCTTGATGATGTTCTGGCCGTCGTCGTAGTACAGCATGGACATGGGCCGCAGTTTGGTGGGCACACAACACGACTTGAGGTTGGCAAAGGGGCTGTGGCCCCGCATGCGGTAATGGTTGATTACAGTGGAGTGGAAAGATAATGATGAACCAGACGTGCCTGCTATATGGCTGGGGCACTCTCCTTCACAGTAGTTAGCGTGATAACCTGTAGGTGCAATGATCCAGTCACTCCATCCTATGTCCTTGAAGCTGACAAAGAACTGCTTCTTGCAGCAGATGTTAACTTTGCCATCACACTCCAGGCCTCGCCTCCGCCGCCTGTGCTGGCGGTCCTCTGAGTGCCGGGCAAGCATCATTAGGAAGGGCCTATGCGATTGCTCCTTCTCTTCTTCTCCTGTGAGTTCTCCAGCATCCTTCTCTTTCCCTTCCCCGTCATCTTCCTTTTTCTTTTTCTTGCCTAGTAACACCAGGCTGGCCCCGGTCTCTTGGCACAAGTCACAGGCAATCCGCACATCCAAGGAGCTCTTGCCTTGGTCCAGGAGTCGCTGGACACTGCTGGAGACAGGAAAGATGTGCCACGTGCTCTTTCGAGTGTCTACTGCTTTTTCTGAAATCAGAGTTTCACTCCTTTCACCTTTTAGCCCCCCATCCTCCATATCTTCTGCTCCTTCAGAGTTGCCCTTCGGCTGCCGCTGCTGTTGAAACAGGCGGATGGTGACTTTTGTCCTGCTCCGGTTGGCCTTGGAGACCTTCAAGAAGAGCCACACTTCAGCATGCTCAACCACCGATAATTCGCTGCCTTCCTTGGAAATCTCAAAGTGCAACGTTTTCTTGGGTGTTCCTGATTTGGTAAATGAAAATAGACAGGAAGAGCTAGTTAGTATGTCGGTTTACATTCTATTAGACTTCTCTGTCACTGCAGGCATGGAGCTCCCTAGGTTTCCTACTTGACTCCACGTTTTTACGATTCTTCTGTTCTAACCTTCCCTCACCTAATCCCCTCCTCAGTTTCTTTTGTGCAGATCCTCTCTTTAGAAAGCTATTAGTTTGCCTGTTGTTTCTCAGAATCATATTTTCACATTTCCAGTAGCATATTTTAAGCATTTTGTTTAGCAGTGAGATCTTTATGTTCATTTACACAAAGCGTTTCGTGGCAAGTAAGCTCCAGTAGCTGCTAGGAATTGCCTCTGTGATCACTGTTAGCTGAAAGGCAAAAACATATTTGTGATGACAGTATGTGACTATATGTACCATACACATACAAATCTGAGCCTAATTGCTAAAGCTGGGGAGTGGGTTCCAGTCCTGCCAATTCTTTGACAATTCTTTTGAAAATGAAGTGGGAGTGAGGGCTGTCCTTTCTCCCTCTGTAAAACACCATCTTCATGTGCATCTTAAAATGAGTAGTAAATGTCAATTTTCTCAAAAACAAAGAAATACCAAAATATGAGCTTTGAGAGGCTAGCAGCTAAATCGTAAAGAATTACAGAATTGCAGCAGGCAGACTCTTCATCCTGTGAGATGTTAGCTGTGGTTTCTGTTCTTAATTTAACACACTGTACTTGCAGTGATTATAGTAATGGTGAATACACTGAAAAAAAATGAGCTAAAGAACTGTATAATTATGAGGATGGTTCTCTGGCATAATTGTATCAACTTGCTGAGATGTCATGATGATGATTATGATGGTGAGGGGGTGTTTCTCTGATACAGAGCTCATATCCTTGGCAGAACTTGGAATGAATAATGAAGGCTGTTTAATGATTTGATCACTAGAGCATAAAAAAGTTAAGAAAGAATGAATTTGCTGGGGGGAAGGGATATTATTTTTTAAGAGAGGAACTTCTCTGTCTTCGTAACAAAAGGAAAGGCCCTGATAGCATCTTCTGTTCTTTCTCATTATGTAGGCCAGAGGTCACAGATTTGAAATGCACAGATATCTCACCTTAGCTAGACAAAAGCAATATTCATAATTATCAGTTGCTCACTGATTCCTGAACAACTCATGACTGTTGATCTGTTTCACTGTGCAATGGTTCTGCTTATCAGGGAAGCAGAACTTTGTACCTTGGAAAGGAAAAGTAGTGAACAAAGAAATGGTTGGAAGCATAAAGTAAAAACTGCTCTTGTGGCAGCAAGGCTCTGCTCCTCATTTCCCATTGCCTCAGAACTCCTCCAGTATGAGCTCCCAGACTATTCTGGTCTCTACAGTGTGTATGTATGCTGTACTGCCCCTTGAGCTACCTGTTGCCTGCCTCCTCTGAGAAGTCCTGGCACTGACACATTCAGCTTTCCCTGGTGGCATTCCCAGGTCAAAGAAACAGGCATGTGTGAATTAGAGTGGCCAAAGGGCGGGCACAGTGTTTTGTTTGTGTTTTCCCTCTAGATGAGAGTGTGAAATTGTAGACTCAGTTCTGTCAACGAGATAGGAAAACACATGGTTTGTGTTAACTGCTTCTCACAGTCTTTGCTGATGTACATCTCCAAAGTCAGCTCTGTTAACTTCCAAGGCAGATAGGTGATCCCATGAGACTGTGACTTAGAAAAGGAAATAGACTGTAGAAAAGACAAAGTTCTGGAGAGCACTGGAGACACTATTGTGTAGCATTTTTTTAAATGAGATTTGTTCAGTAATGACTGAAATTTCATTAGTTAGCTATCAGAGGGTAATGCTAGTTTTTCCATTCTGGATATGCAACTGTGGCAAAGCTGCCAGCTGCACTGGATTAAAGGTTAGCTGATTAGACACTAATCCCCACCCGCCTGGGTTCAGGAGCATGTGGAGGTGTATAGTGACATTCTGCCAGCCCAAAGCAAACCTGCTCCTAGGGCTTGGCTGTTCTACATAGGGATGTTATACAGAATGTGGTCTATCAGAGTGGGCACATCTAAGGCCTGCGAGGGCCACTTATCCAGCCTGCATCTTCAGCTCCCAGACCTTGTCTCACAGAGCAAGCTGCTGCTTTCAAGCACATCTCTTCCCTTAACACAGTGCTGATGGACCCTTTCTGAGGGGAGTGGGCTCCTCCAGGAGCTCCTCTTTCCCTACAGCAAATCAGACCAGGGCACTGAAGAGCTATACACACAAACACGGCCACAATGAGAAATGCAAAACTTACTTTTATGTTCCTGGGGTGCAGCAATGAGCACAGACAGCAGTTGTGGTTTGCTAGGAGGTATCCTGGACAAGTAGACCAGCTGTACTGGACATGGACACCGATAATGGGCCCTCTCATGTGCTATAACAAGGGCAGCTGGGATGCGCGTGCTGGCCTGACTGGGGAAGAAGCTGCATTGCCCAGGAGACCAGAAAAGCTTGAGAGCCCCGTGTTACTGAATAACTTAATGTTGTTAACGCGTGGAATTTCATATTTTGTAATTTCCATTCCAATGGGAACTGAAAATCATTACAAAGTGACATACCTTTCATATCAATGCAGTGGTCCAGAAGTGTACCAATGCAATCATTCTTTCTGACAGATGTTACATGAAAAAAAAAACAACCTTATGCTTCTTATGATTCTTATGCTCCTGTAAGTGTGAAAGTTGTTTTTTTCTCATTTCTAGAGATGCTAGAAAGTGAAGGCATGGGAGCATACTTGCAATACTTATTTTTTCACTGCAGGGAAGTAACCTAGAGCAAGGGAGCATATGACCTGTCCTTATTCAGGGATAACAGCCTCCCTGTAGGTTGTTACCTACAATAATGGACTCCCTGGATGTGGTTAGCTGCATTTTCACACACAGATTGATTCAGCTCCTGAAGAGAGAAGATGCAGGAAGCTGATATGAACCTAATGTTACTGCATGGTATGAACTACTCTGTCCTCATACCTGCATAGCTAATGAAAGCTTTAATAACAAGTTAAAATATCATTCCTTTTCTCAGATCTTTTTACAAGGAGACTGGGAATGATCCAGAGCTGGGGACAAGAAGCACGCTCTCACATCAGGAAAAAAAACTGAGCTTTTCTGAATTCACTCCACATTCAGTATTAGTGTATTGCAATCACACAGCACAAATGGTATGAATCCTGCTGTCTGTGCAAGGTTACTGAAGCTCAGACCAGCTCATTTTGAAATCCAAATTTGATCTGTATTAGAATTGAATGGAGATCTCCAAATCTGGCTTATGATGATTACATATTCGCTTTATAACAGGATCTTCATATTTCCAAAAGGTTCTGTACTACAATAAAGTATATTATTCAGGTGTTCCAAGACCAAAATTGTGCTGAATTTCATTTTATCCACATTTTGCATAGGGATTTACCAGTCTTTTCCTTCTGGTCTGAGTTAACAACCCTGTTCAAACCGTTAGAGATATACGCTGTTCATCTACCTGAAAGGAAAAAGGAGACCCTCCTGAAAATTGGGTTCGGTCTCACTTTCATAACTACACTTGGTTTATCCTTTTGTCCTGAACTTCTCATCTGCCACAGCTGTTTTACAGGGGTGTTCTTCCATTTGTAATCATCCTGCTCTTCCTGCAGAAAGACCCCTAGACCAACAGTGGTAACGCTTTCCAGCACTCCTATAAACAGCAGAGTGAACAGGCTGGATTGTTACTGCTGAAGAAAGCAGCTGAAAAAGGAAACGAGGGATTACACTGGGCCCCCCGTGATTGCTTTTCTTCATCTCTGCTTCCCAATGTCCTGGAGAGGACACTGGGCTGAAGTGTCTTCCAGGAAGAAGGCTGGGATACTGATGGAACCACCCAGCAGCACCAGGAACACGGCAAAAGCCGTGAAAAATAGTTAAAAACACAAGCCCTGTGACATAGTGCAAGTTTAATGGAAGGAGTTACTGAATGGAAAGAGTGCCGCATCACTATGTAAGCACGAGGGTTTGCTCGTGTACGTATTTCTCTTCAGTGCTCACACACCATTTTAGGACCCAGACGTGGGTGAGGTGCCCGCATGGGTACCTCACTCACAAGAGCCTCCAGGAGGGCTGTCTGGGTCCAAGCCAGAAGCTTGGGCTGCTCCCAGGCAGAGCCAAGTGCGGGTACGGCACAGGGCAGCACAGAGGGCTCAGTCTTTGGAGCTAAGGATCCCTCCTGCAGGACCACTGGCTGTAATTGTGTAGTCAAAACCACTGGTTTGCAGTTTGAAACCTGCCTCAAGGTCATGCCTGCTTAGCTTGAGCTACGTGCTCAAGGGAGGGCCTAAACTATACAATCTAGAGGTTTTGGTTCGTTTGAATAAAATGCCGATAGTTTCAATTACTTTTTCCCCCATAGCCACATGCTGTTAAATGATTAAGGCTGTTTTTTTTTTTCAGAATGAAAGTGATTGTGCTTCCTAACGCTGCCATGTGACTTATTCTTAATTTCTCTTAATATGCAGCATTTAAATATTCCATTAAAAAATGCGGGGTGGAAGAAGGTGCTGTTACTTTAAATTTCCATTCTTCCCCACTGCTTAGTTTTGAACCATTTTTATATTTATACTGTATGTGAGCTGTTTTTCCATACAAAGCAAGCTTTTTTTTTTTTTTTTTTTCCTTTTTTAGTTGCTAACTTTACTACTGCCTATGTTTAGATTTGGGGGAATTTGTGCTGCGTACCAATGTGTAATTACATTCAAAAGCATCCTTCTCTTCACTTCTCATTTCCGTTCCCCAGGAGACAGAAGAAAAAAAAAATAGGTTACTAGAAAGGTTCCTCTAAAGAGAGTGAAGAGAGGAGCACGGTTATTGAGAGATAATTGCTCAAAATGTTTACTAATGAGTGACCACTGGAGTTGGATGAATTGTTCACGGTGCAGAATTTATTCAGTGAATTTAGCACTGTTATCATCTGACAATTATCTCCTGGGCAGGCTGATTATTACGAATGCG